TAACACAATAGCTAATAGTTCCCTGTTCCCAACATCGTAATTCTTTTCTGAATCAGACAACCTTTTAGAAAAATAACAACAGGGATGGAGGGGTTTGTCATACGACAACCTCTGTGACAGTACTGCTCCCACACCCGACTCTGAAGCGTCTACTTCCATAACAAAGGGAAGAGAAGGATCAGGGTGGTGCAGCACTGGAGCAGAGGCAAATGCCTTCTTGAGGGTTTCGAAGGCCTTAAGGGCTTCAAGAGTCCAAACCCTAGGGTGTAGACCTTTTTTTGTCAGCTTCGTTATAGGAGATATAAGTGGTGAAAAGTTTTTTATAAATTTCCTATAATAGTTGGCAAACCCTATAAAACGCTGGATAGCCTTCAGTCCTTGGGGAAGTGGCCATGACAGTATAGCTTCCAATTTAGCAGGATCCATACTGAAACCCTGTTCAGTAATGATATATCCTAGGAATTGCACAGAGGTCTGATCGAATAGACATTTTTCTAACTTACAGTAGAGTCCGTTCTGTAATAGCCTTTTGAGCACCATCCTAACATGGTTATGGTGTGACTTCAAATCAGGAGAATACCAAGTATGTCGTCAAGGTACACCACAGCACAGACATGCAATAGATCCCTAAGGACATCATTTATGAGGTTCTGAAACACGGCAGGAGCATTACACAGTCCAAAAGACATGACCAGATATTCGTAATGCCCACTGCGTGTGTTGAACGCTGTCTTCCACTCATCATTCTCCTTTATACAGACAGGTTATAAGCCCCCTGAGGTCTAATTTGGTGAAGAATTAAGAACCTTTAACACGATCAAACAACTCAGTGATGAGGGGGATAGGGTAGGCGTTTTTAACCGTTATATTGTTCAGACCCCTGTAGTCTATACATGGCCTCAAATCGCCCTCCTTCTTTGCCACAAAGAAGAAACCAGCACCAGCAGGAGAGGAGGACCTTCTAATAAAACCTTTACTTAGGGATTCCTGTATGTACTCCTCCATGATCTGGTTTTCTTTTTCAGAAAGAGGGTAGACCTTTCCCCTAGGAGGCATAGTAACTGGTAAGAGGTTTATGGCACAAATCATACTCACGATGTGGAGGTAGCTTATCTGCCTCCCTCTTTTCAAAAACCAAGGCAAGGTCTGCATAAACAGAAAGGACAGAAACCGAGAGTGGTTTAGCCGTGGGCATGTTAAGTAAACAAACAGGACGTACATGAGCCATACAGTCTCGTTGACAAGATTCCCCCCAGGAGAGTATATCTAAACAACCCCAATCAAGAACAGGGTTGTGTTTAACTAACCAGGGAAAACCCAGAACGATGGAGGCTGTAGGGGAGTCAATTATTTGGAAGGTTAACTTCTCCTTGTGCAAAACACCCACAGACATAACTATTTCCTGGGTTTCATGGGTTACCTGAGGTTTCTCCAGTGGTCTACCATCTATGGTCTCAACGGCCAAGGGTGTATCCTTTCGGATCAAATTCAGGGCTGCGGTTTTGGCAAAGGTCTCATCCATAAGGTTGTCTGCCGCACCCGAATCGATCAGGGCTTTGGTTGTTAAAGTGGTTTTATTGACCAAAAGAGAAACCGTAATAAACGGTCTGGAGATGGACACATGAGGGGACAAAGTCATAACACCGGAGGCCGACCCCTCTCTAGGCCTTAGGTGCTGGAGTTTACCTGTACTTTAGGGCAGGCTTTACAGTGGTGCCCCTTCTTCCCACAATAAAGGCATAACCCCTCCCTTCTACGGTACGCTCTTTTGGCCTCAGTTAACCCCGTAGCACCCAACTGCATGGGTTCAGGGGATGGTTGCCTAGGAGCGGGTAACGCTAGCAGTTCAGTACTGGGTAGAGCAGGTAACACCCGTGTATCCAACCGTCTTTGACTACGCCTCTCTCTAATACGGTTATCGATAAGAATCACATAGTCTATAACATCATCTAGAAGAGCAGGCAATTCCCTGGATGCTATTTCATCCAGTATATAAGCGGCCAAACCCTCCTGAAAGGCTGTTACGAGGGCGTCATTATTCCAAACCACTTCAGCTGATAGAGTGCGGAATTTGATAGTGTAATCCGCTACAGATCTGTTACCCTGTCGGACCCTAAGCAGAGCCTTGCCAGCAGAAGCAACCCTACCGGGTTGATCAAACGTGCGTCTGAAAGCTGTCAGAAAATCTGCAAAGGACATAGGAGACGTATTTTCCCAAATGGGGTTGGCCCATGCTAAAGCTCTCCCGGACAAGTGGTTTGTCAAAAAGGCAATTTTAGATCTGTCAGT